CGACTGCACAACGAGGGGAGGAGCAGGGAGTGTGTCTGCCCCGACTACTTTGAGGATTACGGATGGGCGAGAGGGTAGGGCCTTGCAGTGACAGACAAGGGAGATCCGGATTATAGCAAGGAATGTTGCAGGTATGTATCAATTGGTATTTTCGATTCTATATGTATTATGATTGTTCTTGCCTCGGTATCAAGTAATAGTATGTATGAGTTATCTCCTTGCTTGTATTTGGATTGTATTTGCGAAAATGTCATATGCCAATTACATACCGAGAATTATTAGTAGCTAGCGTAAGGTAATCTCCTTCTTCTAGTTCGAAGGGTTCAGTGTTATCTCGGTTACGACCGAGATCAGTTCAGGAGTATCATGAGGAATCTGCGGTCAGGGTTCAGTAAGATGGTTATCCACCATCGTCAAAATTCGGTGAAGTTCAGTCTTTGTGTTAGGGATAACTTTTGGGAAGCATCAAGAGAAACAGTCTATCGACTATCACTAAATGAGTTGTTCTGAGCATCGGCTAATTGGACTTAAGGGTCGAGAGGGACATCAGGTTAAGCTTTTGGGGTCATTAGTGGCGGGATTTCAGGAAGTGTTCATTTAGTCTTCAGTGATTGTACGATCTTTGGAGTGGGCTAGTGATCCATGATGGATCACTAGCAAGGTTAGGCGTTGGTAGTTAGCGTGTCTATCGTATAAGGAAGGAAGGAATGGGAACCCTCCGATTCTCGCGTGCCACGAACACTTAGTCGAAGCTAAGTGGGGGAGAAACGATCATGTACTCAGAAGAAAGTGCGGTTTTAAAAATGGGATCGGTTTCGCATCCTTGTCATGAAGGAGGACAGCCCAAGCGGCCGTAAGGGTTGAGGATAATGTGAATTGGGGGATTATAAGTCAACAAATATGAAATCAAAAATAATAAAATTATAATCTAAATGCATGTACAAACTCTTAGCTACACATTGGAAAAAACCATATGCTAATCTAACTTCAAATGAATTAGATATACATGTGTTGAAATTTTCATAGAATACAATAAAAAACCTGAAAAACTAAAAAATTTCAGCTTTGATATCACAAATTTGAAGGGTTGTAAGTCAATAAACATGAAACCAAAAATGATAAAATTATAATATAAAATCACGAACGAACTCTAAACTATGCGTTGAAAAAAACTGTATGCCAATCCGAATTCAAACAAATGAGATATGCATATTTTAAACTTTTTACAGAAACTAGTTCCGACCCCTAAAATTGGTTCCGGTTCCAGTTCTTAAACCCGGTTTACAACCGAAAGGACTCGGAACCCGGATTACCCCCAAACCCGGATAACACCATTCCTTAAATCCGTAGTTTTAATGGTTCCGATTCAGATCTGATTATGATTCCAGTTAGATTTTCTAGTTTTAAACCATGCTTAAATTTGGTTAAAATTGTATGTCGTTGACACTAAATGGCGTTGATCCATCATATATTTTCTTTATTTTTTGTTATTATTTAATCATATATTCAACCAAACAAAAACCATTACACCAAGCAAGTGACATTGCCCGCTTAAAAAACTATTTGAACCTCTTTCACGCCTTTTGATATTTTTAATGTCTATTTAATAAAAATATAAATATAAAATTTCAAATATTATATGAGTAGTGATTTGCATAACAATTTAATGCTTTACATGATTATACCAACTATATAAAGCATATCATATACATTTAGATGGTGAGTTATGTTTTAGAGGTGATTTTTACACTTAAAAATATTAATTCATTTACCTAAGTTACAGTATCCTTGCAAGTACATATCAACAAAACATATATTTTATATGCATGAATCAATATTTTAAGTTAAAGAATTAACTCATGTTTAAACTCATATTTGTTAAAAATCAAAGATACCAATAAAATCATCTACTCGTTTTTTATTAGAATTATAAATAGTTGGATCAATGTCACCAAAAATATTACAAAACAAATAAAAAAATTTATGCCAAAATTTGGCCTTATAAGCAGAATAATTTATTATTATTATTATTATTATTATTATTATTATTATTATACGATGCATATATAATTATATATGATAGAATACCTTATCTTTGACTTTACCAACATACATCACCAACTTAGTGCCTATAAATATTAGTACACAATACTTGGTCACCATCAATACAATAAAGCAACATAGATTATTTTCAATCATGCACTCTACTTCCCATGAATATCCACCACCACCACCACCACACGGCCATCCATTGGCACCACCGCCGGCACAATACCCACCTGGTATTCCACTTCCACCCATGGTCTCTACTGGCCAATGGTCTAGTGGCCTTTGTGATTGTAGCTCAGATGTCACAAATTGTAAGCTTATATATATAACTTACATTTATTTATTAATTATTATTATCTTTCTTTACATGTAAAACAAACACATTAAACAGGTTAGTTTTTCGTTTTTTTTTTTTCTTTAATATTTCACACTCCTTTTCAAATCTACAGGTTGCATTACGTGTTTGTGCCCTTGTATTCCTCTCGGACAAATTGCCGAGATTGTAGATAGGGGAAATACATGTAAGTGTCTATAATCTATTTCATTTACATTTGTAGAATTAATTTGCTGAAAGTTAAAATTAACTTACCTTGTGGATTTGATGTGTAATTTTTCTTGTTAATTAATTTAGTGTAAAAACATGCAGCATGTGCAGTACACGGATCCATTTACACTGTTATTCTCCTACTGACAGGATGTCAATGGATATATTCGTGTATGTATCGGTCTAAAATGAGACAACAGTACTTGTTACCAGAGGAACCATGCAACGACTGTCTTGTCCATTTTTGTTGTGAGCCATGCGCGATGTGTCAAGAGTATCGTGAGCTCAAACATCGTGGATTTGACATGTCTCTTGGTAATTAATTATAACTTTTCCTCAATCCTTCTAATCAACAAGTATATATATATATATATATATATAACTTCTCATTTGATTTATAAAAGAATCTAATTCTTGTAATGTTTGTTTATAATAATTTATATTCAGGATGGCATGGAAATATGGAGAAGCAAAACAATGTAGGTATCATGCCAGTGTTTGCACCCGCTCCCATGGAAATGAAACGTTAATTATTTGTAATGAAATTTGAAAAAGCTATGAATTATTTATGAGTGCATAAAGGTTTAAGATATAATGTGTGTACATTATCTATTTTTGTTTATAATGAAATCTACCTTGGTCACATTGATGGTCGAATTACAACCTTTACTTATTGAGGTTTCACTCTCAATATGGAAATATATCTTAAGTCTTAACCATCTCGAAAGCCCAAAAGAAAGGCAACCACCAGGAGACCCAACACCCAACAGTCCAAAAGGCCCTCGAGAGTTTCCGAAAACAGGCTTTTGGTCCGATTTATATTTTATACTCATGAGCTGAGCTCTTTTTATATTATAAAATTCAAATACAAATTAGACAAAACTTTATATTTTGTTTAGGGTAGAGTTTTTACACAAATAATGCTCTAAAGAAAAATTTATACTAGATTATAAATAAAAATATAACAAGCGCGATGGTTTATTAAGATTTCTATCTAACTATATATAATTATATATGTTAAAACTCTTATTGATCCAATTAAAAATTCCTAATGATATATAAATTGTTTTTAGCTATGAATGCCCAAAAGGCCAAAAGTTTTCAAGGAAAGAAGAACCTTTATATCTAGGCTTATTGAGGGTTAATATCACAAAATAAATTAAGTTTACGTTCAAAATTTTAATTTGATATTGTGTTTTTTTTTCTCAAATTTAATATTGTATTTTTCAATTTTTTATAATTCTGACCACTTGACTGGTCAACCAAGCTACATGCTGACATGATATGATGACGTGTCAGTTTTGATGATGTAATATGCTGACATGTCAAAATTGATTTTTTTCCACAAAAAACACTAAGTTTTTTTTTTTCCGATTTTGATACTAAGTTAAAAAAAAAATTCCAATTTTGACACTATTTTTTTGTTCCAAATCGAACATCATTTTTTCCAATTTTGTTCAAAGCTGATCATTTTCTATTTGAAACCATATAATTATTATTTTAATACATTTTAAACCATATATATATATATATATATATATATATATATATATATATATATATATATATATATATATATATATATATATATAATTTAAAAACCTGTATAAATATAAGTTTTATTTTTTCATTCAAACTATAATCAGGTATATATTTCTGATTAATGAAAGATTATGTTTCATGGAAAAATAATACCAAGCATATACCATTGACTTAAAACTAATTCATCTCACATCGTTTCATGATAGATATAAACCCAATAGATATTCTTTATAAATCCAAATGAATCTTGTTGTTGGGTCTCTTCCAAATGTTTAGTAAAATTTAGTTCAAAATTTTGAAACCTAATCGTTAACAAAAATGATTCTTATTAGAACCGTTGTGATCCATTTTGAGTCCAGATCCACCAATCCTCGAACAGCTGATTTAAAGTTTGGTTTTGTGAAAAACAAATTAATATGGTAAAAAATAGTTATTTATTTTGAACCATATTTATTTGATGTATATTTTTATAAGAGATATATAAATACATAGCATCCAAACATTATAGATTCGATTGTATGTCCACTTAGCATTGTTTAAACCTTAAAAATGATATACATATCTTAAATTGAAATCTTTATATTATATTAATATTATGTCACGTATCAGCGATATATATTATTAGGTAAATCGCAATCACTTTAAGATTTTAAATAATAGATTTTAAATTTCTTACAGAAACATTTATTTTTTGTAATTATACGTTAAATTTAAAGTTATTATTATTAACTTTTTAAAATTTTGGTATATCTTTTAATTAATATTTTTTTTAAACTTATTTTTTTAAAATAATTGATTAATAATTATAAAATTTTACTATGAAAATTTAATTAATTTTATAACTATGATTCTCATAGTTTATAAACTAGCTAAACAATTAAAAAAAATAAAAATAAATGCTATCAATAAATTACGAAATAAACTATATACACAATCTAACGTATCTCATTTTTAGGAAAAAAATTACAATAATTAGTGTTTTCCTATTCAATACATGACGATTACTTTATCTTGACTCCATGAACACCCACCACCAACTTGGTTCCTTTGAATATTAATAATCTTTAATCCTTGGTCAGCATCAATCCAAGCAGAGCCACCTAATCTATCTTCGATCATGTCTTCTTCGGATGAAATCCAACCACCATCACATGGCCACTCACCGGCCACATCACCTCCGGCACAATATTCCACCACCGGTATTCCAACTCCACCCATAGTCTCTGCCAGCCAATGGTCTACAGGTCTTTTTGAATGCGACTCAGATGTCTCAAATTGTAAGCTTGTAGCTTATAGGTTATAGCTATCAGCTAAATACTTTGTGTAAGTAAAAACAAACCCCTTAAACACGTTAACTTTACTAACGTGTTGTACTCTTTCTGAAAACTACAGGTTGCATTACATGTTGGTGCCCTTGTATTCCTTTGGGACAAATTGCTGAGATAACAGACAAGGGAAGTACCTGTAAGTGTCTATATATGTATGCTCGTGTATGAATATAAGATTTTAAAGTGATCAACTCTTCAAAATATCACAACGAGGCTTTTGTTTCTAGAAAATAATACCATATTGCACGTCTAACTATCAACAAGAACCGGAGATCTGTTATAAAAATGAAATGTTAGACTAATTACGTTAATTACAATGTTTTATTTTTCATTCACATTTCTAAAATATGTTCAAAATCGTTGTTATTAATTGCTGGTTGTAGTAGATATCGATATTTTTACAAAAAATATAATGCTACTTGTCTACGAAAAGTTATAGTATATGTTATTGAAAAGACAACCATTATTAATATTTTACTTAAATTGATCAAGAATTGAAATAATTCTTGAATAGAGATGGAAACAAGATTAGGGACTCTACTGCCATACTCAAATTTCTATGCTTATTCTCATCCATATATTCACCTCACCCCCAAAGGGGCCTCTGGTCCCAACGGTAATTAAGGAATTTCTATTTCTATTATAATATGAAAACTTTTATGTAAATTAAAAAATCTAAAATTTAATTTTACCAATATGAGTTTAAAAAATAAAAAAAAATAAAAAAATCGTAGATAGATTACATAAAAACTATAAACAACTTTTCTACATCCAAATTTAAATACATGGAAAATCAAGCAACTTTAGCTATAATAGATATATGATATGACTATTATAGCATAAACAAAATATTGAATAACATGTTGTAACACACATAGAGTGATGCTTTTATTGTATATGCCAAACATAAACATATGACTGATGTGAGATTAGTATTTGATATTCTTTTCTTGAGAGCACAAATTTGGTCAAATACTAGGAATCTTTTATTGTATATGCCCAACATAAACATATGACTTATCTAGATTAGTATTTGATACTCTTTTCTTGAGAGCACAAATATGGACAAATACTAGGAATCGAACTTATAACATTAAACATAAAATGTAATCAAGAATAAACATCAAATAAAATTTCACACCGGTATTTGAGGTAAAATAGATAAACCAATGAAAAAAAGAAATTATATACAATATTAAATTAGATAAACAAATGACATGTACAATTTAACCAAATAATTACTAAGGAATAGGATATTTGGATCAACTTTTAGGTATGTAAAATTCACTATAACTATATGTTTTGTATTATTTTTACTGAGGCCGGATCCAAGATCAGGGATCAAGGGTATCCCGATTTCTGCTTTTTATTTTAAGGATTCTCAACCCCCCCGTCAAACTGTGTGGGTTTTGGGTTCCTCATCGTGTATGGTTTTTTTCCCATCCTATTCAATAATTTGACGACTATTGTCTGTTCTCTTTATTTGTAACAACAGCATGTGTTGTACACGGAACTCTTTACACAATACTTCTTGTACTCACGGGATGTCAATGGATATATTCTTGTATGTATCTGTCTAAAATGCGACAACAATACTTGTTACCTGAGGAGCCATGCAATGATTGTCTTGTCCATTTTTGTTGTGAGCCATGTGCAATGTGTCAAGAGTATCGTGAGCTAAAATATCGTGGATTTGACATGTCTCTTGGTAATTAGTTTTCTTAAATCTCAAATTAACAAGTAAAACTTTACATTTACATAAAAGAAAATAATTCCAATTCTTATTCGTTTTGCAATATATTCAGGATGGTATGGAAATATGGAGAGGCAAAATGGTGGAGTCGTGATGCCAGAATTTGCTTCTATGGAAATGAAACGTTAATTATTATGACGTATGAAAAAGATTATGAGGAAAAAGATTTTAAAATATAGTATCAGAGTGTTGTTGACTTGTTATGTTTGTGGAAGTATCGTATAAAACCGAACAAAAAAAGAAACATTGAGATATTACACATCTATTCACAAGCATAATCATAAGAAACAATACCCTAATTTGCATCAACAAGCTAATCATGAGATGTAGTTTTGGACTACATATTAGATTTAGTAAAATTATCAATTCATCTCAAGTCCCAGTAAATGAGTGCTAAGTGGACAACCAAGTCCCAAACACAACTACTAAACACCCTAAACAATTGCGTGATGGCCTGATAAGAGACAAGCACTAAATGAAGAATAAAATATAAATAGAGGTGTTTACAAATCGTGTCCATAGGAGAGACGAGTCACGTCAGATCGATATGGGATAAGACTCAGACCAACTTACATCACTTACTTAGGGTTTATGCACTGTATTTATGAGTATGATGTATATATTCATTCCCAACTCTACTCATCGAAATGTCACATAATCGAGACCGATACGCTGCAAAATTGTAACGGTTCAAGGAACGAATTTTCAAAATATAATCATTTCATACCTCAACTAAATCCACTTTAGAGTGTTTTCAATCACATGGAACAATGCCAAGATATATAGATTCGTCATGCACAAGAATTGAACACAATTTCACTAAAAACATCATGTTTGTGCATAAAATCCCAATCTACATGTTCTTATTGAAACAAAACAGATAAATGAATCAATTACCTCCTGGAACTTTAGATGACACTAGCACCATGTTCTCGAGTTCAATTTAACGAGGGAAAAAAGAGAACTAGATGAAAGTGAGCAGACAGTAAACAAAATTGGTGTTACTTGATTTCATTAAAGAATGGAAGTGGAAAGAAATAAAAGGAAATGGAAGGAAAAATTTCCCTCCTAACTTTCCTTTCAATTTGGAAGGATTTAGAGAGACATGAAAAAATGTTTAATTTTCCTTTGACTTTTCTCCAATTCAAAAACACAAAATACAAATTTTCCCCTTTATCTTATTTTCTCTCCCCTTCTTTTTCTTTTCTTTGCTAAAACTTGAGAACTAGACATAGGAGACAAGACGGTGAGAGGAGGAACAAGTCTTCAAGACCAAATCCTTCCAAAAATGCTTCACAACCTCACTTAGATCACACTTAACTCTTAGAAAAGGAAACTTCACTCATAACACTTACTTTCTAGTCATTGACATTGCAATTAGAGTAAGAAATCCTTCACTTAGGTTTAGAATCTCTTAAATCTCACATTACTTTCACTTTAGATTCTCAAAGTATTGCAAAATACTCGTTAGACCCATTAATAGGTTCAAGAAAAACTTCAACTTAAACAAAAGATATGTAAAAGAATGCTAGTCTCGCTAATGGAAGAAAATTTGTGTCGTTACATTGTAAATTCAAAAAATAAGAGTTCTTTGTCTTTCTATGTAATAAATTGGATTTGTTGCAAACTTAATACAATCATAAAAGGTGTTTTCCTAAAATAATGTTAACCATTTTTTTAAAGTTCTTTAAGGGTTGATCAACCACTTGTAGGTAAAAGGTGTTATGTATTTTGGATCATTGTGAGTACAAAATATTTCAATGCACTTTTCATACACTTTGGTTTTGCCAAATCTCAGCTAGAGAATGTATTTTGGAATGTCACAAGACATTTTCAATGTCATGGGACATTTTTTGAATGTCACAAGATGTTTTGGAATGCCACCAAACATTTTTTGATGCACGGGGTATTTTTGTATGTTAGGAGACAATTTTAATTTTAAGAGAAGTTAATGACTGTCAAAAGACATTTTGGAATGTTGCAAAACATTTTTATGTCACTAAAGTTTTCCATGTGTCACAAGAAATATTTGAATATATCAAGACATTATCGAATGCCTCATAAAGCTCGAGTCTTTCCAATCCTTGTATGACTTACTCATTATTTAAGTCTTAGACACTTGTTAATGATTTATTTTGATACAAGACTCCAAGATCTTATTTTAATTGTTTCTTTCGTGCTAACCTTTAAATATATTTCAGCAAACCACTAAATATGGAAAACGTGAAACATTTGTGAGGATTTAGGCATTTTGAATCTATATCATGAATTCCACTATTTTATATACATTTTGGGTAATATCACATCGTATTTAAAATTAACGTGGGGTTGTACATCACATGTTAACCTTTCACTAGAGATATAATGTGTGTAAGATCATTGTGTATCGAACAACATATGTGAGTAAAATCATATGAAGTTTATGTATTTTCTTCGTTAATAACATTATGTTTTGGTATCAAGTATTTATTGGTTTCGTGATTTTTGGGACATAATCATGTTGAGAGGGGGTGATTATAACACTCGTGATTTGGGGTTAAATCTTTTGATCCTTTTTAGTATGGAGATAAAATCAAAGGAACCTATTTTCAACCTTTAAATCATGTAACTAGGTTTGAATAATTAAAATATTGATGATAAACTTCTAACTAAGATGAAATCTTTTTAAAAATAAGAGTTAAGTATAGAGAAATTTACCAAAAAGTTTCTAACCTGATAATATATGGTGTTGTCTTCCCTCTTTGAGGTTGAGGGTTCAAGTTTCGTGTAAACATATGTAGGATGATTTAGAAGTAGCTTATATTATATTTGTTGTTTTAAAAAAAAATGGTATAGAGAAATTTGAATTACATTATTATTTTGTCATTTTGGCTTATTTCAAAACTATCTCTAATCAAATGTTGAGCCTATTTAAGTGTGGATTGTATCTAATTATCAAGTTTTACTTTAATAGAGTAATTATTAAAGGTTTAGATATATGAAACACTGTTCGTATGTGTAATTTAAAATATTCATTTAGTTAATGATGAATTTGAAAATATTTTCTATGGATAATGTGTTGGCGAGAGCTTAGTAGATCATATTTGTGGTGTAAATTCTATCTAGTCCTAGATTAATGGTTGTATCATGTATTGTAGGTAATTTGTTAACTTCTATATTGTATATATACATGTACCATCCGATTAATAAAAACATACTGAAAATTACTCCACATCTGTTCCTGATCTCATAATTTTACATAGTATCAGAGCAGAATAGATCCTAAATCATCGAATCATTGGATTACTAAAGGACCATGGGAAACGAAGGCGACTCTTCAAGACCGTCCAACTCATCTGTGATTCTACAGAACATTCAGGACGCCCCATTCCCTATTGGAGTCATCCTAAATGACACAAACTACCCCTCGTGGTCTCAATTGATGGAGATGCGTATCGGAGCTCGTAGCAAATTGGGGTTTCTTACCGATATATCAGCGAAACCCACAACGAATGAAAAGGCGATCGAAACCTTCATCACTGATAACAATAGGGTCAAGAGTTGGCTCGTTGACTCAATGAATCCAACCCTAATGCGCCGATTTATTCGTCTCCAAACAGCGGCTGAAATCTGGAAAGCAGTGAAAAAAACCTTCTATGATGGGTCCGATAAAACCCGGTTGTTTGAACTGAATAGAAGGTCCTTCAATACGCGTCAGAGTGGGCGATCCTTACCAACTTACTACAACCAGCTGGTAAGTATCTTCCAAAAGATTGATGCTCGATTAACCCCTAAAGAGGACACTATGGAATCTACAGTAGCCTCAAGCAAAACTCTATCAAGATTTCGAGTCCACATTTTCCTAGCAGGTCTGAATCAGGAGTTTAACTAGGCTAGGAGCGAAATCCTAAGGAAGGATCCACCCCTCGATCTTGAATCATCGTATGCCTACATCCGCAAAGACCATAGTTAAAGACAATCCATGGAGGAACCCAAGCCAGAACCTGACAGCATGGTGCATTTGGCCTCACGAAATCGAACTCAGAACACCAAAGGAAGAAATAACAAGGGAAACATGCATATGTATACTCATTGTGGTGAAGATGGACACTCAAAAGCCAAATGCTATGAACTTATTGGCTACCCGGAGTGGTGGGATTTCACAAAGAAACCTTGAAAAAAGATTGGCCAAGCTGCTACTGTCAAGTCTTCACAAACTGGGGAAACGACTACTCCTATAGCAACTCACACTTCTACAAACACAAGTATGTCCATTAGTAACCAAAACAATTAAAATAACAACTGAATAATTGATACAGGTGCAACATATCATATGACGAATGATCCAGCAAAATTAATTAAGTATCATACTCCAAAACAAGAAAATGTTAAAACCGCAAATGGGGAAATGACACTTGTAGTTGGTGAAGGAACTGTAAAAGTAACAAACTCTATGGATCTTGATTGTGTTCTTGAAGTTCCCTCACTATCTTCAAATTTACTATCCGTCAACCAAATTATAGAAGCACTAAACTGTTATGTAATTTTTTGGAAAAATGATTGTGTCTTTTAGGATATGGAAACTCATCAGACTCTTGGCTATGGTACTAGGTGTGGCAGGTTGTATTATCTTGAAGAAAAACATCAAAGTCAAGCATATCATGCAGGAGTAGTGGAAATAAATAAGTCTGTGGCAATGTTATGGCATCGTAGGCTAGGACATTTATCTTTTGGTTATCTTAGGAAGCTTTAACCTAATTTATTTTCAAATGTAACGGATTGTGATTTCAAGTATGGTATTTGTGAGTTAGAAAAAAACACGAAAATTTCATATGGTTCTAGTGATAATAAAACTTCCATTCTATTTATGAAAATTCACTCGGATGTATGGGGTCCTTCTCCTATACGAACTCCTGGTGGTGCAAAGTACTTTGTAACCCTTTATTGATGAAAGTACTCGTATGGTATGGGTATCACTCCTTAAAAACAAAGGGGATGTATTCAATGCTTTCGAAGAACTATACAATACTATAAAAACTGTGTACAGGAGGGAAGTCCAAATACCCCAATCCGATAATGGGGGGGGGGGGGAGTATATAAACAATCAAATGAAGAAATTTTGTAAGGAAAACTTGATTCACCATCAAACTTCATGTGCTCGGTCACCCCCAACAAAACGGACTAGCTGAGAGGAGAAATAGACAACTCCTTGAAATAGTTCGAGCCTCTCTCTTTGATATGGAAGTACCTCGAAAATTTTGGGGTGAAGAATTACGATCAGCTGCGTATCTCTTAAACCAAACACCATCAAAGGTAC